TAGTCATTTTTACATAAATACTAGTTTGATATGCAGGTTTTGGTATTAAGAAGAAAGTTGAATACCACTTAATACTCATAGCTACCATGATTTTATTTCTCAGAAAATAAGAACCTATTTTAAAACCTAAATCGCCTAAGTTTAGGCTAATTTCCATTTATTTAAGAACCTGTTTAGGCTAACCTGGGAAAATGCAGGTTTTTAGTCGCTGGTTTTTACTGTATCAGGTTTAAAAAGAAAAAATAACCACAGCGAAAGACGTTTGACTACGGTGGGGTATCGAAGGATACTAGGTCAAGGGTCAGAGATCGGGTATTCGGCCTGTAGGAAACTGTTCCTCACTTAGGACGTAGTCACTGTCTCGCCTTCCTTTACCCCACAAACCCCCCCCCCCCCCCCCCCCCCCCCCCCCCCCACACTCCCCATCACAAAACATCAATGACAATACACAAACACTTTTATCTCTGGAACAAAAAAAAATATTATATATAAATTATGTTTATGATAAAAAAAAAAGTATTCTTTATTTTTACTATCTAGNTGACTTCTTTTTGACTTCTTGACTGTGATATCATCTGCAAATTTAACTAATAAGCTAGAGGGGCTAACCGCCTTTATATCATTTATCATCAGAGAAAACAATATTGGACCTAGCCTCGTCCCCTGGGGGACTCCCCTGGTTATGTCTATATACTCAGTAATGATGTTATCTACCACTACCCGTTGCTTTCTATTACTAATGAAACTGATGAGCCAGTTTAGAATATATGGATTGATATCCACATCCCTAAGCTTACTAACTAAAATTCTGTGAGACACAGAATCAAACGCCTTACTAAAATCAAATGAGAAGATCCGCACAAAGTCCGCATTTCCATCAAGCCACTTTAGCCAGTTATGCTGGGACTTCAATAGTGCCATGGTGGAGTTATGTCCCTTTCGGTAAGCAAACTGGTCTAGATCAATATGGTTAGCGCACACAGTAGTAGCTCGTTCTTATACACTAGTCGCTCAAACAGTTGCATGATTATATTTGTTAGAGAAATAGGCCTGAGCTGGTTACAGGAAGTAAATGGCAGTTCCTTAGGAGCCGGTCTAATATTCGCTTCCTTCCATAACAATGGAACTGTATGTTGCAGAAGGGTGGCATTAAATACATCGGTTATGACTGGAGCCAGGTGGTAACCAAAGCTCTAACACTTGTAAAAACACCTGTCGTTGCTCGTGGACCTGTCTCTCAAAATAAAAATCCTGAAAATCGGTAAAGGCAAATTATGGACTGATCTTTCATTTTGAGCAGTTGTAATGGCAGGTGTAATGGCTTTTATATGCAAACACTACTTCTCAAACCCTTTGAAAATCGTCAAATTTGGCAAATTCATCTTTATCTTGCAATGAATAAAACATCGTTTGAATGTGATTTCCCTTCTCCATGTGGTTTTCTGCGAATATCCCACTGGGTAGCTTTTACAACTGCCGGAATTCCATCACTATCATGTCTCGTTGCATGGCAATAAACTAAAAGAAGTAGATTGCTCAATTGCAGAACTGTAACTAATCGTTACCCAGTATAAATTGTTTGTCAGTACCCTCAAAAGTTTAACTCGAATGTAAAATGTAGTCAGTAAAATATCTTAAGATATTGTTGCATTCATAATTTAATTATCCAAACGAGAAAAGATCCGCAAGAAGTAGCTAAATTTTGCTATATATCGCCCGTTGTGGAGGAAATATAATTAATCGACCCATATCCCTCAGTGTGAATTATCTACACCTCTGTTGCGTGTTTTTTAAACTAGTAGTCAGTGAATCGAAATGTTAACGTCGCTGTACAAGGAAGAACTCACTATTTTACCCCTGTAAGTGCTTGTAGGATTTTCTGTTCAGATTTATGTTCGCTCGTATCCTCTTTTTTGACAAGACCTCTTCATAAGGCAAATTTTCCACCACAAATTTTTCATGATTATAATTCTGCTCGAACTTTTCAAAATAAAAAAAATTGCCTTAAATAGAACTTGACATAAACCTGTGACGTTATAAATGGTCATGTATCCAGGGACCTTATATACCATTTAATTTGAGATACAGTGACTAGATCAGATGGCTTCCCTCATCTTAGCGTAAGAACAGCTTGTCTCTATCATTTTGATTTTGGACCTTTTTTATCAATATAAATTGTCGTGTGTAAATAATTTGACGATTTGACAATGGAAATAGATTTGGAGGAGAAGGGTAGTGCAAACAATTGATTTGTACTAATAGCAACAGTTTTATAACACTGTTTCTTTCAGTTAATAACTCTATTGCGTTAATAGAACTCTTAAGAAGAAGTTCACAGATAGAGACAAGCGAAAAACGTGAGTACACGACAATAGAGAAATGTTAAGAAATTAAATATCTGAGAGGCTTAACGTTGAAATATGGAAGAAAACTTGCAATAAGAAACTAAAGAACTAAAAATAAATGCCACAGTGTACGAGCAACGAACGGGGACAAAAACTCTAACTCGATCTTGTTTTGATCGGCTACATAATCTACTCATAAAAGCTTTTGTTTTACCTTGGTAAAAACGGTATTTCCTTTGAGAGTTTTTGATAATCTTATATTATGAGGAAAAATAGTCAGACATTTTAAGGAGATGTTAAATATTTTTATGAACACTATCATTTAATTTTATTTAACTTTCGATGAAAATACGTTCAACTTTATTAGACAAAACTTTCACGATTTCTAACATGGCTAGCTAGTAACTAAAAATTTCCTCCACAGAACAATCTACTAGGTCTATAGTTTTTTAAAAAATAAATTATTAAATTTACAACTCTAAGTATATTGACCAAGTGGATCACCCGTACACACCTTCAATCAGTTACTGGTACAAAAGTCAAGAAGTCAAATGTTATTTCCTTTTGGAAAAGACAGTAAAAATATCTATCAATGATCTTGTTGAGTTAAGGCATCTTAAATGCATCGAACAGAAACTAATGTCGTATTGGGTTGAATGGTTGACACTGGATAAATCTTTTAAATTGTTTATTAGCCACCAGAGGGATGGCACCTGTGAAAAATTTTCACGGTTACCCACTTGTTAATTACCTAAAACAGTGAAAATCAGATACCGTAACGGGTTAACAAAATTCTGTTAAGTGAGATAAATAATAAAAGAAAGTAGGAAAATCTCATTTCACTGGTAAATAATTCAAACATCTCGTAATGAATCCCTTAAGTTTCCTTAATCATTAGCTCGTCGTCAATATAAGAATTAAGCTTAAGAACTTCATAATGTGTGGTTTTATTTGGGATGTAAAAAAGAAGATCAGGGAGAAGACGAGGAAGATGAACCAAATTTATCTCATGATTAATGCAAACTCATTTGTTGCCCTTTAGTTCGTGGGATTTGAAGGTCTCATGTGATTGGTTTGGTCCTACAAATAGGAACATTATAGATGCATATTTTGCATGACTACTCGGTCCACAATAGCTTGACGTGTAAAACTGAGATATTCTGATATAATTGGTTCAACTATGACATAAAGAGTTTTGAACTTGTCTTGTTGCGCCACAAGAAGGGATACATTGAAGCAGTGAAGGTGCAAGCATTTGTCAAGACTGGATCTGAAATTTTTAATCTTAGCACAAGGTAAGTTTAAAAAAAGGCCAAACGCTTTAGGTAAGAAATGTTTACATACCAAGGATTCAGCAATGTAAGACTTTTCTTTCGTTGCGATGTGTCAATGCCGGTTTAACTTTTAAAACTTGTATAGAAATGTATAAAAATTTCGTACGTAATTAAGGACATCCTAGAGGCAAGACTAATATGGTTTACTTTAATCAAAAGTTTTGAAATCATTGCAAAACCAAGTCCAGTTAACTTTTATTTTTATTTTTGTTTTAATTCATGGTTAAAGATTTTTACCCAGGGAGACGATATATTTTTAGAGTGAACTCACTTTGATTCAGCCTTTACCAGTATCTTTGTAGAATAAATGAAAGACTACGCAAGGAGTTAAGTAAGCTATTATACCCTTAAAGCCCCTCTATATTTTGAATGACAAAAACAAAATAATAAATCAAAAATAAACCAAAAACGGCGTGTACATGTGGCTTCTTAAGTTAGAATGGAGTGAAACAGAAGACAAAAAGAAGATACCCAATGCTTATATGTATGAGGTGCTCTCACTAAACATTATTATAATGAAAGCTACTGAAGAGAAGGGGTCTGTCTAAAAAATATAGCATCAAAACACGTTTTATGGAATTCAGACAGACAAAATTCACAAAGGGGGCAATTAATGGGGAAACATAATGATAAATTGCATGTGCAATAAGAGTTGTAAAAAACAAATTGCGAGTCATTTTCATCACGCGTTCTTAATTTTACTTTATAAAGGCTATCCCAATAGCCAGAGAGAGTTTCAGTATGAAGGTTCTTATGTTAATGGAATAATTTCATTTTGACTCTCTTTTTTTTCCCAGATTTTCGAGTATTGAATTGCCCCTCGAGGATGGGGATTGGTGTGGTGAACTTATTCTTTCTTGCTGCATTCGTATTTTCAAACCCTGCCCCTGGTACATGGGGGCATCAAATAAGCACACTTCAAAAAAATCCTTTGGCCGGTGTTTTTGAGGATGTCTCTCATAAGGTGGTGGAGAGGGCAGTCGCAAATCCGAAAACTGATATTGAAATAGTCCAGGAGTACCTTGACAGAAAAGTCGTTGAAGAGAAGGTAAGGGAGACGTGGGGTCAGCTAATGACAAGCACACCAAGGGCAGTTACAGAAACAAATACCCGGGCAGGAAAACGCGTGACTTTTGAAAACACTGGACAATTATCCCTGAAAGAAGCGTTTCAGTATATGCAGTTTTACCCTCTCCTTTACGGTGAAGAAACAAAACCAACAGAATTCCGTGTGCCAATTGGAGCCGATGAACAGAGGTTTAAGCTCGCCAATGAAGCCGGTGGTACTTTTTCACTGAAAGCTGTTCGCTCAGGTGGTAGGGAAGTTGATCTTTCTAATCTCCAGGGTGCATCTGATACATTGTCCGACCCCAATCTCAAAAACCCATTAAGGAATACGATACCGGACTGGTCGTCACAAGCTTTAGATGCAAAGTTAAATAATCAGCCTGATTTTGATGTAGTGTTGCAAACTCACGACACCACAGGAACAGTATCTCAGTCAGAACAAGATGAAGCTTTTCGAGCCACCAGAGACGTTTTGGTTGGTACTGCTGTGCAAAAGAACACCTTGGCCGGCCTAAATCCATCTCCAGCCAATTGGCTGCAGACAACAAATGGGGATATTGACACAAAAATGAAGGGAGTCGATGAGGAGCTTAGTCAGGCCATAGCAGATGAAGGCGAAACTAAATTGAAATTTGAACTTACTCAGAGTATTATTAAAAACAGTCAAAAAGCGATTAAAGAGTGGGATAAATTGAAGCAAACCGACGTATCAGCAACTTCAAGTACAAAAATTGTTGAAGAGGAGACTGTTGGGACCGGAAAATCAAAACACTTAGAGGTGACAGTTCACGAAACAGATAAGGTATCCATGAAGGAGGTATTCAAACTTCTGCAATTTTATCCAGAGTTATATCCTAGCCAAGGAAACAAACAAACAAGGTTCGAAGTTCCAATTGGCGGGGAGGAAAGTAAATTTCGTTTAAGTAAGGCCCCAAGGGGGGTAAACCAGATATTGGTCCATACTAATGATGCTGATTGGCCTGGTACTACGAGAAGGGGCCGCAAAGGAAAAGGTGGAGTCTGGGCACCTGATTACGACACAATGGTAGATGACGTTCTTAAGAGGTTCCCTAACCGTGATAGGCTGGCGAACGCTATGCTAGATTCCGTTGACAACGATCTTGACAGTCAGCCTGATTTTTCAAGAAAACTGAAAATCTCGGGCAAAAGTAAAGAATCTGCCGACACAAAGCGGGCCACAGTAGAATTTATGGTTGTCTCAATGGTTGCAGAAGCGGCTCAGCCCGCCGATGAGTTCAAAACCAAGTTTATAAAGGACCTAGCAAAAACGATAAGAGACCAGGAAAGTTTTCCAGAAGCTAAAGACATTCCTAATCTGGCAAAGCTGAAAGGGAAAAAATCAGGAAGAAGTCCCGCGATGGACGAAGTTGTCGATGGTATGCTAAGAAACGTCGGACGTAAACGAAAACGCATAGACGAAGTCTTCAGCAAAGACGAATTTCCGGTGAGAAAAAGAGGTGGGACGAGGCAAGGGCGCGTTCTGGTACATAAGCAAGGGAGCGAGACAGTCCCTTCATATCTTATCCGCAAACGTGCCGCTGGAGATCACGATGGAGAGGTTATTGCTAGAAAGGTCGCCAGATACTGCACAGGGACAAGACGTAGGAGAAAGCGGTTTGCTTGTTCACTAAACGATAGAGACTCCACTGTTGTCGATGAGGATTCTATCAAAGTTGATGAAGACAAGGTGGAGTTTGATGTGGCAGACCGCCGTAATGCCAAAGAACGAGAACATATTCGGTTAGAAGTAAGCCCTGATGAGTTAGCTACACCCAAGCTGATCAAGGACAATCTATCAAAATCTCGGAGGACTGGAGCTAGTGAGGCATACTCAAAGGTCAATAAAGGTCTAGCTGTTCATGGTCTGATATTTTCCGTTCTCGGCGCTGTTAACTACTTCGAAGAGGGTGACAACCTTCGGGGTGCCATATCCGTGGCCCAGTCTGCCCATACACTAGGGGGACTAACTGGTCTCAATGAAATAGTATCTAAGGTTGGTAAAAGAGTTTTGAGCAGTGCGGCCAAAGGGTTAGCAAAAGGTTTGAATCTGGAAAAAGGTTTAGAAAGGTTATCCACCAAACTGGAAAGGTTTGCGGAGAGAGGAGTCGGTGAGCTACTTGGCGACATACCTGTGGTTGGACTTGCGTTCGATGTCTACTTCATTGAACAAGACATCGAACAGATTGCTAATTTAAATCTTAATGATCCAGAAGACCTCAAACTATTACCACTTCGTGTTATCGATTTAGCACTTGATGTTAGCACTACAGTTCTGAGCTTAGTAGGAACATTTTGCCCTGAAGCAGAAGTGGTCACAGAGCCTCTAGTCATTGTCCTTTCAATAATACGAATGGCTATTGACGACTTTTACATCGATATTATGGCGGAAATGGAGAAAATAAATTGGAAAAGTCCGTGGGCGGGATTAGAGTTTCTTGGAGCACTGGTCAAGGGATTCTTGGAGGGAGCTGTAGATTTCCTAACAGGTGGCTTAAGAAGACAGATGGAGAATTACAGGAAACAGGTAGAATACGATAAAAAACTTCTTCGAGACTTGAAGAATCCTGACAATTATTACACAATAGTTGCAAACAAACAAGGGGGTGGCGGGACAATCGATTTCACGTCGGGAAGGCTATCAAGTTTTGGTGGCTACATCAACTTTAGGCTTCATGACAACAATCGAGCTACTTTAGAAATCGGAGATGTCTCTGGCAGCGAGAGTACAATACGCAAGACATTTACAGTGGGTTCTAATCTTAAAGACATTGTCCTTGGGATCGGAGAATCAAGGTCTTTCACCTACAAGCATGAAACTGCGAAGCTGTGGTTCGTTATTCCAATTAAGTCATACGATGTAATATGTGGAGCAAATCTCCATGAGAAGTCTGTTTACGGAACTTATTATGGAAACTCTAACAATAACACATTTTACGCCGTACAGAATCCAAAGCCCACAACCAAACCGCCCGGCAAAGAGAACCAAGATTGTAACTTTGGAAATCTCAACCTTAAGTTCGTTACAGGAAATTACCATTACAATCTGTATGGGAGGGGTGGTAGCGACACTTTTTATCTCGGACCGGAAATGTCCACTGTCACAGGAGGATCAGAAAGTGATCTGTACATTATTCAGTCAGATGGCGGAAAAACCATAGTAGATAACTTTGCTGAAGATAACAAACGCGACATCATTGTAATAAACGTTGCTTTTGATAGTATTCAATGTCATCAGAGTAGAACCGATCTTGACGTCTCTTATTCTATGAGTCATCACATTCGTATCAAGAACTGGTTTATTCCTGGAGATCCCACCTACTACCGCCACGTCTCGTTTCGCAGTCTGGATGGAGTCATTTTCGTCCCGAAACAGATCTTGAATAGCGAAGATATCCATCCCGTTCGATGTGTAGCAGTGGCTCTTGACTTCGGCGCAGCAAAGTCAGCTCAAACGGTTTTACTAAATACTACGAAATACAGTCAAGTTAAGCAAGTTTCGGGCTCAAATAGCTCTGATACCATCATCGGTAACGATGTCAATAACGTCCTAGAAGGCGGTCGTGGAGCTGATCATTTAACTGGAGGTAAAGATGAAGACACCTACATCATCAGAGAAAGCGAAGGATGCGATGTTATCAATAACAATGCAGACGACTTCTTAAACACTACTGACATTGTTGTATTCGATGTACCCTTTGATAGGATAGAAGTTCAGATACAAGGCAATGACCTGTCTGTTACCGATAGGGACAATGCGCAAAGCTCATGCTTTACCATAACAAATTGGACCATAGGATTCCGATATAGACACATTCTATTCACGTCTAAAGATCACGTTGTTTTCAACGTTTCCACAAGCGAAGACGACAGTGTAATGAAAGTTCCAATCATGCTGGATTACAAAACTTCCCCCTCTGGGGTCTGTGTCGATTTGTCCGATTCACCAAGTCCAACCTGTGTCAAACCTGCGGGTTACACCAACATCGCCACCGTTTCAGATTCGCCACATAACGATCGCGTAGTGGGAAATGCACAAACCAACTTTTTAAGCTGCACTGGTGGAGAAGATTTCCTTGAGGGCGGAGAGGGAACGGACAATTATGTGGTCAAGAAAACATGTCAAAAAGCAACGATCAATAATTATGACGGTCGCAAAAAAGTTGATTTAGTGTACATAGAGGAAACGTTTCTGAACTTACAACCGCAGAGGAACAACAAAGACTTAAAGGTACTCTCAAGTCATGGGACACCAACTGTTGTACTCCGCAACTGGTTTAACTCCTCTTACAACCAACATCTAGGGATAAGAACTATCGATGGTATTACACTTAGAATAGATAACGCGACTGGAACATTCGAGCCATATGAAGTATCTAAGGATCCTGCTGAATGTCAATGCACGAACGCCGGCTGTGACCGGGGAATAATAGAGTACAATCTTACCAGTGATCCTTGGAAACATTTGGCCCGTTTTGAATTGAAATCAAGCCACTGCAGCTACAAAATTTACGGCAATGAACTTAACAATTACCTTGATCCAGGAGCAGGCAATGGTTATAATTACCAGCACTTGGAAGGAAAGAATGGATCAGATACCTACGTGTTTAAACACGGGTATGGGGAGTTTAATGAAATAAACAATTATGCGGAAGACGGCAAGGCAGACGTCCTCCAAATTGGAACGGACTTTGACGATATCCGCGTATATTTTCACGGACAAAATGACGTCATTCTTGCATCGAATACACGCCCCAGTTCACTAAGTGTTTTAATTCTCAATTACTTTCGCGGCCGTAAGTATCAGCATCTCCAGGTGATATCAGAGGACAAGATTGTCTTTAATATTTCCAAAAATTATCCTTACAGAGAGATAATCGCCGTCGATCGCAGAATCATTGATTCGCCACAAAACATCGATCCGCAAAAGAATAGCTTAATCGCCGCAGCCTTAGACTTTAGGGGATCCCTTACCGCTTCGAACAACCTGACAGGAAGCAACACAACATTAGAAATCGAGGGTGGCGCTCAAGACGACATTCTACGCGGAGGACAACAAGGAACAATTTTTGATGGAAAGCAGGGTAATGATACGATTTATGGTGGTGCTGGTAACGATATTATTTTCGGTGGTGATGGTGATGACGTCATATTTACTGGTAACGGAGATGACTACATTTATGGGGGGAACGGAGCGGACAACATAAATGGCGGAAATGGCAGTGATACACTTGCCTTCAAAGGTGATGGTTTTCTTCGCCAAGGTGTCACTGTTGATCTAAACATCGGATTTGGACAACAGGCTGATGCAGAGGGAGATGTCTATACGAGCATCGAAAACGTTTACGGTACGATACACGATGACTTTTTGATCGGATCTGATTCTGATAACAAGCTGTACGGTCTTGAAGGAAACGACACACTGGCACCCCTTGGGGGTGCTGACAAACTTGTAGGGGGTGAAGGAGAAGATTTATATCTACTAGATAAGGCCTCGGGGTTAAAAATTATCGATAACTATGCAGATGATAAAGTTGAAGACACCCTCTCACTGACTCATTTGAACTCCACTAATGTGTGCATCTTTTTAGTTGGCGACGACCTACATATACAAGATAATACATCTGACTTGGCTTCTGTACTTTTTCACGGTGAGCTTTTGACAGTTATAATATCAAACTGGAACGTGAATGAAACTTACAAACACCTTAAAGTCTTATTTAATGATACTATATGGGAAAGTTTCGCTTTATCGGGCATCGGTACAATACTGGACAAGTTAGAAGAAAGTGCCAATTTTATCGAGAACGGAACGAACCTGGAAGTTGTGACAGTGAGCGGCGACAATGTAAGCTTATCATGGAACCAAAACAGTGAACTTTTGACACATCCACAGACCGAGCTGTTTCTTGTTCATTTTAAACAAGACGAACCCACGAGCTTGGAAAAAATACAGGTGGAGAGTCAAACATCTTTAACTGTTTCGTCTCTTAATGCTTCCTCTCACTATGTTTTCGCTCTCGCATTAACAAAGTGTAACGGGACAATCGCTGTATCCCATACGCTTATAACTTACGGACTCCAAAGATCTTGCCCCACAGCGCAGGTGCCAAACTCGAATGCTGAGTACACTCCATCGACTTCTGCTTTAGCACCAGCTCATGGTACCATTGCAAGTGTGAACTGTAATACTGGATATAACATTGAGAGGGACGAAAATCAACTAAACACGACTTGCTTAGACCAAGAATGGATCCCCTCCCTTCCAATTTGTAAGAGAATAAAACAATGCCCTGTCCTTACCAAGCCAACTAACGGAGAGATTTCAACTAACGGGCATGATGAAGGATCAAAAGCTTACTTTGTCTGTCACAAAGGATTTGTGCTTAACGGATCCAGGGAACGCACCTGTGTAGATGAATCCTGGGACGGGTCAGATCCTAATTGCCTGCCGCTAAGCTGCCCGAGTCCACCACCAATCAATAATGGATCGTATGAACCTTGTGATTACATAAAGCATACAAAGACATACGGCACGATAAGTACTCCCCTTGAAGGCTATTGTGTTAAACTTGAATGTGACAACTTATACCTACCAAGTCACGTATTTCATGGAAAGACGTATCTTCCTCGATGGGAAAGTGACTGGGAGATACCTCAAGGCGGACGGGTGTGCAGCGATGGAAAATGGATTGGGTATGTGGACGACACCTGCGAGCTCACTATTAGACTCGTCAATGTGAATAACCAGTGGAGTAAAACCAGTGGCTTTCTTCAACTGTGGAAAAATGGAGTTTGGACGAACCCTACGTCCACCCCAGCACAAAACATCCTTAATCTTTCCTGCAAAAGTGCTGGGATAAATGATCCTTCTAATGTTAGGCACAGTACCAGCAACTCCAGGATAAGGGTTACATGCTCTAAGCTACGCTTGACTCAACCGATGCCAACTATGTATGAAGGAAGAGTTGAAGTATTAACTGATGATGGCTGGGAAGGAGTATGCGTCACGGAAACAGGGGCAGCGGCAAAGACCGCGAGCAGGGAAATTTGCGAGGAACTTGGCTTTAACTTCAAAACCGCAGTTGTGAGCATCAGCACTGGCTGGACAGACCATAGACTCCAATGTTCAGCGTAAGTAAAAATAGACTGGGACCCCTAGTTATAATAGTCGCCAGAGGAACACACAAGAGTGGCCAAAAGATGCATATTATAATGGTGTTCATATTATCAGAGCTCGCTTCATGATAAACGCGACAGACATATCTCTTATTGTTACCAAAATATAGGATACAAACTAAATGCAACAAAGATATGTGTAATTTCTCAATCTTAAAACTGTAGAACCCATACTACCACAAGTTAGTATCATGATTCCCATACTGCTACACTCCAGTCATCGGGGAACTTGGTTTACGCAAGTTAAGCAGGCCCTTTAACGTCTGAAAGGCTCAAAATCTGTTAGAAAGCCAGTTTTATTAAACACGGGACACTTATTATTTAGGTATTCATAATAGTCTCGATAGTAGTTTGTAGAAACCGAGATAGAGCCTCTAATAACTAAATTATCCTTTTATGTTTTTTTAAGAACGTCCCGAGATTTTGTCGTGGTAAACGGTAAAAGGTGAGTAATCTGCTTATCCATCTTTACCTTAATTTTTTATATTGGGTTTTAAAGTCCTCTGCTTTGAGAAACGATTGAAATCCCTTAATGACAAACTAGTGAATGTATTGAGGCATCTGTGATGATATATAAAGCTATTAATATGGTTTTTTAGGTCTGCCAACTAATTTGAACTAAGAACCGACGGTTGGCCAGGCTAGGAAGACATGATTTATTTTTTGCATCCACTTTGGGTTGTGTGATTACATTCATTAACAATATACTTTTATTTCCTGTTTTTATTCATTTATTTATGGTTTGTTGCAGACAATTGATATATCGCCCGGTTGTTAATAGGTAGGTGATGTAATCTTGCAGTTTGTACTTTAGAAACCACTTAATAGGTTCTCACAATTCCCAAGACGACATCCAGAACACAACAGTATCTGCAAATTCCAGGCAAACATCTTAAAGAGGTCTAGAAATACCCGAATATATCCACTCATGTGACAGGAACTACGCTTATTTATTGTAACAAAAGAAAGAGTTCACATAAGAAAAGAGTTCAACTCCCACAGGACTCACAGTATTTGCCCTGGCGAAAATGAGCGCACTTCATAGCTGGCCTCAGGTTTGCTTGTCAGGAGACTATTTCGAAAGCTGATAAGGCGGATACTCTGTAAAGAAATATAAAAAAAGTGTCAAAGGTTTTCAAAAAAGGACCTGGAAATACCCGACTATTTCGAACTACAGATGTAATGAAGGACTCTACATTTTACTTTTTGTTATAGCGGAAACAGCAGGTGTAGTTTGCAGGCGCACAGACAAAATTGTGGTAAAATGGTACGATGCAGACAGAGGTGTACTAACAATTATCCAGTTCCTCATGGCTATCCAGATTGCAGAGGAAAATATGAAGACGACACATGCACAGTTCATTGTAACAATGATTACAAACGCTTTGGAGACTCTAAAGTTTATTGCAAAGGAGGAGTCTGGACAAGGCAAAATGGGCAAGCTGCCTCATCAAACTGCAAATATATACGTGAGTACCATAAGGGCATATTAGGCATTTTGAATATTGTGTAGCGGAATGAAATTCGTCTTAATAAAACTAATTCACATAGGTCAAAGAAGAACGCATAACCTGCTTCGTCTCACTGCGAAGTTATAGGTGCGTGTTAATTTACTTGTTGATTATCGCAAAATTTGGTTGTTCAAACGTTGGATAGCCGCTTTTAAAAGCGGATAAATTATGATCCAGCGGACATGTTCTCGTGACTAATTGCCACTGGACAGAGAATTATTCACCTTTTGAACAATGACTGGGACCAGACGAATTTCGTTAGATCATTTCAAGGACATGGCCTTTATCAAAAAAAACCAATACCGAATTTCAATGGCGTCCGTCGAAAAACGATATATATACTCTTAATAAACTATTCTTTTAGCCGAACGGTGACAACGTGTTTTGGTATAGAGGTCTTAACTTTATTAAGCCACGGCAAATTCCTACTGATCGTTTGGAAGGCATAATAGGTTTGATACGTCCTTGGGAAAAAGCCACACACCAAAGAAATATTTACCATAGGAACTTGCCATTGAGTGAACCCAAGGGAAAATAGAGTGTTTTCACTGACATCACGGCGGCCATATTGGCGTCCCAAAACAATGAAACGGCGACCATGTTGGTGTCCCAAACCAGTCCTTTGGGATTTGAATTCTTTTCTTATGGAAACGCTTTCTTTTTTTCCAATAAATTTGCATAGATGCTGGCCAAGTGAGTGAAAGCACTCTATAGGTAGAGAGACGATAAACACAGGAAAATGGGATATCCCTATGGGGACAAAAAGCTTGCTGCAAATAAGTTATGACTTGAACTCATCTCTCCCAAAAAGTACCTGAGAGTTAAACGCCTTAACTCTGAAGGGTGCTATGTAATTCACGACGATACCTTGATCATGTCTATCCAATCATTTTTTTTTTTCAGCGACACTCGCCGGGGACGATGTCGCGAGGCTTGTGAGGGATAACAGCGGAAAAAGCATCAACAGCATGGCAGTATTTTTAAGAAATCACTTGGTCAATACTTATCCTACCCAATATTGGGTAGTTACCGTTTATAGAGATGTTACTGGTTATGATAAGCACGCTTTCTATGCTTATGATCGAAATCGTGTTAGCTATAAGTTTAGACATCATGGTTTTAACTATGTTGTCACTCGGTATCCTAAACATTCCGCTCGCCGTCCCAGTGTATCAATCAGCAGCGTAGTTGGCTCAATAACTGGAGATGACGCTAAAAGAGTTCGTGATAGCATTAAGAGTAAGTTTGAAGCACGTGGTCTAACGTATACCACCATACACGTGGTGAAAAGGAGATGGAAAGGGTGGTGGTGGGATACATACGGAATGACTCTAACCACAGCATATAATATACTTAGCAGGAACTATTTCTGGAGAGAGTTCTCGAATGTAATAGTCATTGTTGTAGCTCCTTATTAAAACTACGGTAAAACGGGCAACCAATTAAAAACGTGCAATCTGTTTTGTAACATTGATGCAAAGGAGATTGGAAAGCTATGTTGCGCGTTTTACCACACGGTCTTGCAACAAATCAAGTTGTTAAAAGGCGCGTGAATACTGACTTCTGATTGGATAAATTTACCAGGAGTCACGCCACACGAGGGAGTCACATCACTCACTGAAGAACAAGCTTGCCTTGGTAAATAGAAGTATCCTCTAATTTCTTCAACATTTTTTTTGCAACATAAAAACAACCTGATTTGTTAGGCGACATTATCCCTCAAAGCATTGATTATCCTGAGAAAACAGCCGACATTTGGCGACGCTACCACTGGTTTCCCCGTGCAATGAAGTCTGAGAAACGAGCGCAGAAATTCCATACTGATGACGCGTCACTACCCAGATGTGGTTAGTGCTTCTGATTGGTCGTGCCGCGTGGGAAATTTGATTCAACCAATCAGACGTCACTACCCAGACCTGGGTAGTGACGCGTCATCAGTATGGAATTTCTGCGCTCGTTTCTAAGACGTCATTTGGCGGGGAAACCAGTGGTAGCGTCGCCAAATGTCGGCTGTTTCCTCAGACTAAGCATTAAAAGAAGGTATAAGTAACATAGTTATTAAAGACCAAAGGTGGCACTGATAAACGGAAGACCTACACCGATAGCAATTGTCATTTTTGAATGCTTGTTAGCCTATACAGTTTTTCAAAGTTCACTTTTGTTGTTTTTAACGTTTGATATGGCTTGATATAATACTTGGGAAATACATTTGCATGACACCAAGCTGTGGTTTTCTCATTCACAAGTTTAACTTATTTCTCAAGTTTCGTAGCGTTTTTAGGGAGTTTACGCAGTGACGTTTTTGAGCGACGAACGTTAACCGGAAGTGAGCCTGTTTCTCATTTAATATACCTTGACGCTACCAAACTTGTATTGCAAAGTGTCTTTATTCTTATAGAGATGCTTTGCCCAGAGGAGTGCAAAAAGTTCACTTCCCGTTGACTTTCGTCGCTCAAAAACGTCGTTACACAGCCGTAAGACATCCCCTCTAATTCGTGGGAAATAAAACGCGCAACATCGCTATTCAATTGGTTTTGCCAGCAATGTTGCAAAACAAGTTGAACTCACTCCGTTACACAATAAATAGTTTTTAGCCTTTCTTTTTTTGATTTACTGATCTTTAAAGATTTCTCGCACTAACTAGCATTTAATCGATTTATATTGACCGTTTTTAGGGCCCCGTCTACAGGTATATGGTGAAAACTACGTTGACCGATGACGCGTCTCCTCAATAACTCTAGTGAGAGAAGAGCCGAGATTTGTAAAAACGTAGTTTTTTTTTTAGCCTGCTTTTGCCATATGAAAAGAGGTACTGGTTTAGAAAACGATGACGTAACAGTACCTCATCCATCGCAAAAATTAGGTAACGGTTGATGAGGATGTCGGAGAAATAAAGGGAGGATTTTTGGAAGATTTAAGGTTTTCTGAGACCATTCAGGATGGAAGGCAAACGTTTTCAAACAAAAACCGTTACGTCGGTCAGATGAGAACGATTTGAAAAGGTATAACGTATGGCCGAAACGTTTTTCTTTTAAAAACGGACAACAAATTCATTCGATTGCAGATAAAACAGGGCAAGTGCCAGGACGGGGCCTTAGTTAGGTTCAATAACTGTTCCATCGACCAAACCATAATTTATTCGTCAGTCTATTTGCGTTCCATTTGCTATAGGAAAACCAGAAATAGGAGCCAATTGCAACGTGAGACGTGGCCATTTTGTATGCGATTTTAATACATTGGATGCCTATGAAGCAACGTTTATATTAGTAGTCAAAATGCTACTTCTTTAACCTTTTTTATGCAGAAGACAGTTGCTACCACTTAGTAAACTGATATTCTGGAGTGGCAGTGGTTAATTAATGAATTACTATATGGAGATAGGCTGAGAGTGGGTTGCATCAGGGATTACATGGCAGGTTACATTTGAAATTATATGAGTAGTAACGTTGACTTGAACTTCAAAGAGTGCAAACGAGACTGTAAAATCGAATAAATTTATGTTGGTATAACCTATGATTGAACTCTTTATTATTATTATTATTGTTATTATTATTATTATTGTTGTTGTTGTTGTTGTTGTTGTTGTTGTTGCTCTTGTTGTCATTGTCATTGTCATTGTCATCGTCATAATTATTATCATTATTATCTATTTCTTACAGTAAACGTTGGTACTGGAGCTCTTGTCATAAATTGTTTTCTCTCTTTCTCTTCCCGGCTGGAATAGTTGTCAAAACTTGTAAACAGGAAACATTGACACAATGCGATATTTTCGATATGGGGTTAGAGGACCCGGTAACCTAAAGAAATACTTGTGAACAAATTGCGTTCTAGTACCCCGTAAGTCTTCGTTTGGTAACGTGACGAGGTTACTAAGTCAATTGCAACAGTCGTTGTGGATTGTTACATTTCAAAGTTTCATCGGGAGATAAAAACTGATGCTTGGCTAACTCAAGGCTAAAGTTTTGCAATGAAAGTTAAACCTTTATATGCAGTTGGATTTTGCGGAGGAATTGTGGCTGTGAGAATTTTGTTACTGACTTGGCTTTTGAGTTGGCTTCGTTCGAAGGGTTGTGCAATTTGGTTTTACCATAGTTATAAACTTACTTTATATGACCACACAGCAGGAAGCAAGAGCACGCCGAAAAATAAGGTAGGGCGCTTTTAAATTAGAAATTTAAATTTATTAACGGGATTTTCTTAAAGCAAATCCTTATGTTTACGGCCACTGGAGATTACATAATATTTATAGCGGAGCTCCGCGCGCGCGGAGCCCAATTGCTGTAGAAACTGGAAACTAATCGATGCCAGAAAATTTGGTTTCTTGGGGTTGAAGTTTGATGTATGACAAGAAGAAAATCAATAAAATAAAAACAAAAGACAAAAAGAAAGGAAAAGAAAAAATGAAGGAAATATTGATTTGTGATTTACACTGCTGAATTTATTAGGTTCCAACACATTTATTTGTAATGTTTCAAGGCCGCCTAATAGACCTTTGTCACGTGGCGGCCATTTTGTCTCAGGAGATTTAAAAAGCTTTGTTTATGCACGGCTAGCCTCGTAGAGACTATACCTTTATAACTCTTGAATAAATATGCTCGGACCTCTCACGCAGACTAATATCCGTTGAATTATTCTTGTGCAAAGCCTTAGAGGACAAACACACAAGTTCATTCTCCCTTAAAATAACCCCGGAGCCTCTCGATTATTTCTCCGAGCGTAGGGTACGACTGAATAGCGCTAAAGAACATGCCTATGGAGCTTAAGCAACGACGACAGAGATGGTAACGAGAACGAGAGTGGCAACAAGGCAGTAGGTTTTGACAGATTAGCAAAACAGTCAAGACAACGAATTCACTCTTTTTTGTACATTGCACTTACCGTCGATGCACGACTACGACGTGAAAGTGCCAAATTTCACTTTCTTAGAAGGCCCTGAATACAAGACAGCGACTTTCTTTTTCTTTTCCTGAACTTCGATATAGTCTTAAAGAATTCAACTCCAGAAAATTTTCCAGCATTTGACGAATTAAACGAGATGGAATAAGCGCATTAAAGTTTAAAGCAGCGCGAGTTCACTTTTTAAGTGACGTTTTCATAGCCGTCGCCGTCGTTGATGCTTTAGCTCCTTCTTTTCCTTCTTTGAACGAAACTCTTCATATTATGTACCGCTATGTTCACGACATTGGTACCCAATAACAATAAAGCTCCCGCTTATATTTTTCACGGCCCTAAAAGGATTTCCCCAAATGTACGTTTCAGATCCCCATCAGCTAACTATATAAACCCCAACGCCGGCTCCCGTTCAAATATTCCTTGAGAAATTCTCAAACTAACTATCGTGCTAAGTCAATAACAAAAAAAATGCAAATCTTATTTTTGGCTACTGTTCTGGTTTCTCAAACCCGTTTGCCTTGCGACGGCGTCTATAATTTGAACATCACTGCTGACCATTTTTACAGCGTGGGCGCTTAAAAAAATCGAACATTGATCGAGTGATCATCATTTTCAACGGCAGCGAGTTTTTGCAAGTTTGTCAGCTTTACAGATTTTTGTATGGTGAGGGCACAAACTTACAAACGTCTGTAAATTTTCGCACGTTTGCTGCGCTAAATCTTCGCTTGCTTAAGGTTCAAACTTGGGAACTTTACTCTGTAATTTTAAGGCGTTCTTTACAGTGGTGCCGACGGATTTTCCCTAACTGGTCCATGTCAAAAGTTGAAAAATCCATGGAAGGGTCTATTAAAGGGCTTGTTCCAAAAGAATTTTGTTTTTTTAATTTTTGTTTCAAACCCTTTCTTACTAGTAGGAGCATGTTTAGTATGTTACCAGTTTCAGACCTTATGACGTCAAGTTATTTTTACGTGAAAATGTGTGCTTTCCACACATTTTTGTGCCAGGAATAGGCCTGTCTAGATTGTGCTCGGCAACTTTTTAGCCGCTTTTGCCGTTGGGAACAATTTTTTACGGTTCTAGCAACCTCGATTATAATCTGCCTTTGTGAGCAATTTTTGAGAAATATAGGTTTATAGAGCAAACTGCATGCACATATCAAACACAAAAAAGTCAACGATTTCACCGAGAACTTCAAGTTATGCGAATTTCGTAATCAACCTCAAGGTAAACTGAAAAGAAAAAATTAATCCACATTTCGATCAATTATTAAAAGAAAGAATAATTGTCAAATTGACGTCCTGGAATTTATAATTCATGATTGATTACTTAGCTAAGTAGTACAATGTTGCTCAGGGCTTTTACAGTGAGCTTGGGCAACCACTTGTGGTTTCACCCATATTTACGAGTTACACTGCATTTTTTTTACTATTTTTTAGCAACTTTTTGGCATTCTTGTCGGCATTCTTGTCTTGTCAAGCATTTTACGAGCACAATCGGAGCAGGCTTCACCAAGAAAATTTTTAATAGTAAAATATTTGACATGTTCAGCGTGAAAAAAAATTCTAACTTCAGCACTATTTTGATCAATGTGATCTTCCAGTAAAACGCTCAAAACGGCAATGACTTTTGCTGCCATTTTGAGTGACTCCACTAGACCATGCAGATCAACACTCTATTATATTCATATAATCTTGCACACCTTATCACAGGCTATCTATCAACTTTATAATCTTTTAAAATTTCTGTGATACATCAAATACCCAAGGAAGAGGAAGTTGTCAGTTCTAGGGTGGAAACTTAAAAAGAAAACAATTAAGGCCCTCCAAACATGTTGCCGAAAGGCATACCGCCCGAAAAGCCACCCGAAAACCCGCTTCCACTCCCGGGCGGCGGGCCAGTTCCCGGGGGACCAAATTTCTTGTCCAACTTATCAATAATAGTTCTTAATTTCGGTTTGTTTCCGTATTTAGATAGGTTCGACGGGTTTTGGCTGACATCTTGGAAAGCTTGCATTGTTTCAGGATCCTGAAAGTCAAATAGTCGGCATCTTAATAACATCATTATTTTAATTGACAAATCAAATTTATTCACTTTTTGACTTATTTATCGGCTACAATTCTTTTCCTTGTAATTATGATACAATCAACACTGGACTATTGTAAAATTAAAACCCTCTTTCCACTACTTCGGTCACATTGCACAAAAACAACTCGCTTGGGTATAGTATGCAGCGTAGTAGGACAAACAGGGCTTCCATCTAAGATGGTAATTTACGTAACATGTGGCAGTCCATTGCTCCATGTAAAGGAATCCAAGACATTCTGGTACTCTGGATTCCAAAGCATGTATTTCAGGATTCCAAATACTGGATTCCAGTCTCTGTCAGCAGAACTTGGATTCCGGATTCCTTGAGCAGTATTCCGGATTCCGAAGCCCATGATTCCGGAATTCCACAAGCAAAATTTTCCGGAGTCCGGATTCCACTGGCCAAATTTCCGGGGTCCCTTACATGGGGCAGTCCAGCTGCAAGAGCTGCACTTGGTTCATTGAAGAATTGAAGTTACGCTTTTTGTGTGAATTTCAAACAGGCTGATCTTTTAATTAAAGCTATACAATACTCGTCATATTAGTTAGGACAGTAGTCATTTTTTCTGCCTCCTCAGTGTTGATTTCTGCGAGTTGGCATCACAGAAGCAAAAAAATTAAACACTGGGAGGGAAGGAGCACAACTTTTTGTCGGAATATGGGTATTGCACGAAATGTCCCAACTTAATGTGACGAGGATTGTACCTTTTATTGTCGATCAGACCCTTGTAAAGTTGCCTGGGTTGCGTGCGGACACAAACAACGGCTCCAGTTATATTACTAACTGAATTCGTTTTGTATTATGTACAATACTGATCATGAACTAACCTGGAATGCTGCGACCAATTCTTTGTCACTCAGTAAGTCGTTCAGAATGGGTGTTTCACCTCCTAGAAATGGTCAATGATATAACACAATTGAATCGAAAGAAATAAACTATTATACACAAGATAAGGCAAAGTTTGCAGTCCACAGCATTATTGCATACAGACTTAGGATCGGGAGTAAGATTTAATTTCCTTAATCGCATCATCATCATCCTCATCATCATAAGCATGGTCATCATTATCATCATGCATCATAATTATCACCAGCATCATCAACAGCACCAGCAACATCATCATCATCATTATTATCGTCATCATCATCATCATCATCATCGCCACCATCATCCAGAATCATCATCATCATCAGGAGCACCATCACCACTACCATCATCGTCATCACCATCAACATCATCATCTTTCGACTACTGAGTAGGCGACCACAATATAGTAAAAGATATTTAAAATGATTACAAATTTGGCACTTTGAGCAAGGAAATTTCTAAATTTAGCGCCATCCTCAAATGTTTCAAACTTAGACTCTTAGTGCCCATATTTACACTTTGTCCCATGGCAGAGGTATGGATATGCTTGTGTGTGGAAGAAAATTAGGCCGTAACAACCCTGCTCCAGATGTAAATTCCAAATGCTCTCTACTACCTCCAAGTATTGCCTCCGCAGACATCCCTCCTCCACTGGTGCCAGCAGGGAAACCTCCTGCAAGTCCAGGGATTCCAGCAAAACTTCCTCCAGGCGCAGAAAATCCCCCAGGGAAATCCCTCGTCATTTGTTCCTGAAAATTTGGCAAGTAAGTAGTTTAAGTACTAATGGGTAGAAAACAATGGATCAAGTTAGGTTTCTGGGAACCTGCCCACCTACGCCTCCCCTAAATTAACATTTTGCCCTAAACGAGAAGTAAGTGAATGTTAGCTTAGGGGAGGGGTAGGTGGGTAGTTTCCCAGAAACCTAACCTGATCCAAAGTTACGAGGCAAACTTTGTATTGTTTTTATGGAATTCGGATCTCTATTAGTGATAGCCAATGGTTTTAAACCAGCCCAGTCCCTGTGCGTTCTTGGCCCCGTCAATCCTGGACTCTACCGTGAGCTGTGACGTCACCGAGAGAAACTCGCCCACTCTTTCCCAGACTTCGAGCGGACAACGGGTCAAGAGAAAACGCCTAGGGACTAGGCTGGTTTTACACCACTCGGGATGTCTATACTGCGCATGATTTCCTCTTCTTATCGTAGTATCAGTGCAATTGGTACTGCATTTTGAACGATTAAAATACCTTTGGTTTGTCTCTTTCCGCAATAGTCTTGCTCCTCAATTCAGAAAGAGTCTTGTTTTCCTTGTCGATCTTTTTTAGTTAAATTTAAACAACTATATGCTTAATTAAGTCTAAAAACTACAAATAGACCAATACTCTCATCATGGTACAAAATGGCAGGGAAGCGGGTAGTAGGAGCTCCTTCCCTGGCTTTTGGCCTTGATTAAATATTATACAAAGATTAAAGGTCACTGGATAGCCTACGACTAGCGCAATAAGATGGGGGTTTTAACGTCATTCAAAATGGTCGCCATCTTGGTTGCTTTCTAAGCTACCATCGTGGCTTTTCTGAAAATTCACATTTATACCAACAGTCTAGAAACTTTTCATTGAGTAGGTGTAAAAAAGTTATTATTAAACATTATTGGGTTTTGGAATTGCTCTGTACGTTATTTACCAAAAATTGTAAAAAACGTGCATTTTTTCGGGAAAATGCTCTTACATAGTGTTATTTTTGACGCTATACCTTGTAACCATAGCAACCCAATGCCCGACAGAGTTGCCAAAATGTGTATTACCATATTTATTCGATTAACTGCCCTGAGCACTCAATAAATTTTTGGACCTTGAGAGTGGGCGCTTATCACCATGTTCAGCAAGTGTAGTATGTATATTTGGGAACAAAACGACAAGTGGTAATAACAAAACGCTAAGATGTAACAAAGCAAGGTTTTTGTGAAATACTATGAAGAAAACTCCGCCTTCGGGGAAGTCTCTTATTAGTACTTATTTAATTTCAATTTCACCCGCAATTTGAGTTTGAGCGGGAGGGGGAGGGGTGGACGCTTATTCGAGGTGGGCGCTAGTTCGAGGTTGGGCGCTTATTCGAATAAATACGGTAAATATTTAAACAGCCACTGACAAGAGTAGCTTTGGCTAAACAGCTTTTTGAAAAAAAAAAAATATATATATATATATATATATATATATATATATATATATATATATATATATATATATACAAAAACGAATGTGTATGGGAAAGACATTAAAGAAATAATATAATATAATATTGCCAATCCTTTATCTCACAAATTAATATCTTCTATATAAAAAAAAAAAAAAAAAAAATATATATATATATATATATATATATATATATATATATATATATATATGTATATATGTATACAAAAACGCATGTGCATGGGAAAGACGTTAACGGAATAATTCAATAGGATACTGCCAATCCTTTATCGCACCAATTAATGGCTTCTCCATATAAACCAAGTTGCAAACAGGCATTTGCTCCTGAAACCAAAAAATTAGCGTTAAAAGACCCACAACAACAACTACATCGACCAAACAAAACAACAAATAAACAGATGTAAAAGCTTATCATTTTTATTTTGCTATATAGTTTGTTCCCGCTTTCTCGATTCCTCTCTATTTCAAAAGTCCCGTTAACTGGAACCAAAACCCATCTCTCTTAATCCCTACCCAACCTTTGCAATTTCACCTTCGAAATGACGTCCGAGGAATGAACGCATACGCAGAATTCTATACAGATGAAGTGACACTACCAAGATTTGGCTACGAACTTCTGACTGGTCGTTCCGCAAGGGAAATTTCCTTCAACCAATCAAAAGCACTACTCAGTTCTGAGTAGCGACTTGTGATCAGTTTGCAATTTCTGCGCTCCTTCCACCTACGGTTTCCCCACGAAGGAAAGGAAGCCAGCGAAGGGATGGGAAACTGTACCTACCTCTTTCCATGGCTTTAGTATAGGTTGGCTGCAAGTCAACGGCAATTTGCACGTCAATTAGCGTTTCTTCATAATTTTCTGAAACCATGAAAAGGACAAGAGACATTAATTAAATTTGGTAAATTCGCTTGCGAGGCTTTCTTTGTGCGCGCTTAGCCTAGCCTGAGGGGGGATAATAGGAAGTCAGCAAATACCCAAGAAGCATGGAAACATCAATCACCATAGACATACTTGAGACAAGAAAATGCTCTTATTACTTTTCTTGATATATATAACTTGCAAAAAATATCAGTAAATCTAATAATTCATTAGTTACGAAAATTGGAATCTGTTTCAGTAATTAATTATCAAAACGGTGCAACAGATACATCTGACAAGAATTGTTTTTAATTAAGCTGGCTTTACATCTTACTCTGATTGAAATAAGCCGTTGCCCTGTTGCTGTAGAGTTTAGCATTCAGCTCGTCATCGTCACAGTTCACTTGAAGTCCTTCTGAGTAGAACTGTACAGCGGCTGGGTAGTCTTTCCTTTTGTGCGCGTTATTGCCTTCATTCTTGTAAGCGTCTGCTAGAGCTGATTAAAAAGAATTGATTGCACAAGTACACAAAATTAGCTCAAATCCATCTTCGAATGGGAATGCCCTTTACCCTGGTTGTGTTTGTAAGATTTGTTTGTTGGAGGGATGGTCTATTTGCCCAGTCCATTTGTGACTGGGTATCGTGTGTAGTGCCTCGCCCCAAAGAAGGGATTTCAAGACAGTCTGGGATTCTAGATGCCACGCCGTGGATTCCAGATTTCAAGTACGGGATTTCAGTGCTCTGTCTCGTCGATTCTGGATTAGTGGGATTGCGGATTTGAAAGCCCAGGAATTCCGGATTCCCCAAGCAAAGTTTTTCAGGATTCCACAGGTAAGTGATAAATTCTCGATAACTTGCGTACTTTTAAACACTAGAGAATGAAAAGGATCCGCATCTGATGCATCTGTACGAAAATAACATCAAAGGCAGATTTGGTAGGATAGGCTAGATCTCTAAAGGCTCTATTACTGTCACCTTCGGATTTAAAGCTGCAGTCGTAGCGGTAGTGGTACTGGTGGAGGAGGTGGTGGTAGGGGCAATGGTAGCGGTAGCGGTAGCGGTAGTGCTAATGCAAGCGCTAGCGGTGGTGCTAGTGGCGAAGGAAGTGGTGATAGTGGGTGCAAGAGTCGGATTGGGAATGTTGTTGGCAATGTCAGTGGTAGGGGCTGGGGTTAGGGTTAGATGGTAGTGGTGGTGGTAGTGGTCTTGGTAGTAGTAGTGATAGTGGTTAGGCATGCTGAGGCATGTCCCCATTGCGCTGGAAAATTCGTCAAAAGTGCTCAAAACATGGCAAAAAAAGTGCTCGAGTAGTACGCGAATTTTTGAAAAAGTGCTTGAAATTTCGAGATAGTGTTCGAAAGTTGCTCGTAGGTTTTAATTATTTCCCAGCAAATGTTCATAAATATTCTTAGTTTTATCAAAGCTTTAACCCTCTATTTTCTTAACTTTTCCGAACTAGAAGTGAAACACCATTTTGACCCATTTTTTTAAATTGAATGAAGAACACTTTACTTTTCACCTAGAGTACCACATTCTGGTACGTTTGCTTACCATAAATATAATGAACTTTCTTACCTCAAAAATCCGAGAATGTGTGACTTCATTCTAGTAACTCTATTGAAAATGCGACCCCATTATAGTCAATCCGGTCGTGAAAATGCGATCCCATCCATCGGCACATCCCCATTAGCCTCTTATAAGGAAATATCCCCCCGGAAATGTGAGTCACTCAACACTTAATTTTCGGTTCACGTTATGTTCGCGGCACTCATTGTTCGCGTCACTTTAATTTCGCGATTTTTTGGTATCTCGAAATTCGCGAAAATTTCATGTAATATAAGGTATTCGGTTCACTGAAAACGTTTCGAAGACAAATATCGCATGACACACATGCCGAAAATTGCAAAAAAAAAAAGTGCTTAGATGTTGCCCAAATAGCAAAATAATGTTCAGATTCTGGTCAAAAGTCATTACAGTGCTCAAGAGTGATGGAAATGTACAATAGTGCTCCAAACTCGAAAAAGTGCCCAGCGCAATCGGGACTGCCCTAATAGAGGTGGTGGGGTGGTGGTGGCGGTACTGCTTGTGGTAGTGGTACTGGAATGGTAGTTACAGAGGTAATGGCGGTGGTGGTGGTTGTAGTGGCAGCGGCAGAAGCAGCAAAAGAGTTAGCAGTAGCTGTAGCTTGTGTTGCTAGTGCTAGTGGTAGTATGGTAGCGATTACGCAATTGTTTGTTTCCGCGGTCACATGGAGGGTAGCGTTTACAAACGTGATGTCTTTTGCTCACCTTTCTTCAGCTCAGTATTCAAACTGTCATCCTTGCATTGAACATTAAGTGCCTCTTTATAAAGCCGTACCGCTTCAATAAAATCTTTGTTCTCGCATGCCTGGTCGCCGTCTATCTTGAACACTTCTGCTATTGCTGCATTAGAATAAGGATAATAAAGCCATTTTACATACACAAAAAAGATAGCTAACATATATAGAACCTCTGGTCGTTGTATTATGGGATATAGAATCCAGGCCTTCGGTAAGAGGTTCAAAGTCATGCCTTTCATTTACTTGTAACATTTTATTTGTATTTCTTTATATTCATCCTTCCAATCATTTACAACTTAAATCAGAGAGAGAGAGAAGAGAAAACTTGGGATGAAAAGAGGACATTTTGCAGGGAGTCCGTCCCACCATGCACACCGCACATCCGAGAAGGTCACTTTTCCTCTGTAAAAAAGTCCTAGCTATGCCTCTAGAAGGAATAGCTCTTGTAGGGAAGAGGATGTTACTCAAGACTGTGTTTAAAAAAGACCAAGAAAAACCGTATGTTCTGCGGATTATCAGTTGACATCACCATCTTTCTTCCTCTCACCTCTTTTTGTGTCATCATCAAATCCTGTTGTTTCTTCTGCTGGGGGTGTTGTCCCACCATCATGTCCAGTGTCCTCTGGATTCTCTGCCATGTGAAACAGCCTGCTAGCAAATGACACTTCAGCTTAATTTTAATTGCAGAAGAACGGTCACAAATTTATTACACCGTAAGCTTCACCCTCTAAATAACTAGCCAACGTTTATTCACTATTGCTCATTTTGGCCAGTTACGCGTACGTGTGACTTGATCGGTGTAATTGTAGTATCATCTAGCTAGCGATCTTTCCCATAGTGCAATTCGAAACCACACTAGCTCGAAGTCTCGCACAGTCTCAAAATTTCTTATCAGTAGCTTTTGCATCCTGTCCTTGCAATTATTTATTTATTTATTCCGGAATTCGGGAGATTTTTGCTCGTGGAATCCAGATTCCGGAATATTTTTCTTAATTGTGGAATCCGGAATCTTAGGCTCTGAAATCCGGAATACAGCTCAAGCAATCCAGTGATCCCACCCCCGCGGGGGGGGGGGGGGGGGGACCCCCCCCCGGGGGGGGGGGGGGGGGGAACTGCCAGATATGGGCTACGTAGGTATGTGCCGTTGTGAAGGGTATGGTTTTCAAGCTGTTCACTCTGGGATAGGGTGGATAAATCAGAAAGTTTGAGTTTAAGTCTAGAATAGGGTATCATTTTCCAGGAAACTGATCAATTGGTTGAAGATTTTAGTGTAAACTAGGGAAACCTGGAATTGCCACTAAAAAATATAAAAAAATCAAATCGGCAAATTTATATTTACGCAACTCAGCCTAAAAGCTACTCTACGATAGGGAGATTATTTAGGGAGTTTAGTCTAGTATAGGGTAGCAAAATTCAGCTGAACTACTGTAACTCTGGTATAGGCTAAGGGTTCCAGGGTCCCAGCGGCACACCCCCACCCAGAAATTCCTAAAGTACCTCTGCCCCCCCCGGATCCCACCAACGACTGGAATCAGGAATCCAAGTTTCACTGACAAACACTCCGGAATCCGCAGCGTGGAGTCCAGAATCCAAGATTTCTTTCATTTCCTCTGTTCCAGTAGGCCTGCTGTAGTGACCTCAGCATCAAGTTTCGTTTTCGCTTTGATACAGCAATGCAGGAAGCAAAAAATAAAGAGAGAATGACGTGACGATAAAGAGAACGTCGGACAAAAAACAAAACGAAACTCTTGCAGTTTCGGTCCGATTTTTACTCGTTGAACAATAGCTTTTCAAACATGACGTGATTTCATTGTAAACAACACCAAATACTACACGTTCAGATGAGTTAGTACCCTTGCGTGACTTTTGTGTGTGCTTAAGCTTATAATGCATTCAGAAGGATTCGAACTTTGACTAGGCTTTAACGGTATCAACAAATCGAACTTTCCTATGAAAGAACGTACTCACCAGTGTAAAAAATTTCATCAACATCATTTCATTAGATCAATCGCAGTTACCTTTTCATTTTCGTAGTCAAATCTTGAAATGCTATGATTGCTTCAGTCGTTATGAATAATGCTCTTAGGTTTGCCAATACTTCGCTATCTTTCTTCAGGTTTTAATTCATTCAGATTCCAAGTTGAATTTTCATTGCTTCCAGGTTAGAATTTTAACCGCTTCTTGTAATGAAAGATCAACGAACAGTGAAATCGATTGAACATTTGGCGTACATAGAAAATGTTGTAGAGTTTGTGTATGCATCGGAAGAGCTGTCGGAACTGTTTTACTTACCCTGAACTCTACCAAGAGAATCCACACGGAAGGGATTTATGACTGTACAATAATAAACCGAAAAAAAATGCTTCAAAATAATTTCTTGTCCACGTTTATACCGCGGGTAGCTACGACCAAAAGAGCGGAAGTGGTAATAATGAATTATGCATAGCGGTATCAGGACTCATAAATAGTTATCATAAATTAGATCATTGTTATAAATAATAATCGCAAGGTTAACCTTAAAGGGAACCCTTACAGCCTGAAAAAAGACCATAAGATGTATGGACACTGTACTGTACTGATTACTATAAAAAATAATAAGTCAAACTTTATATAATCCACTGATTTAAGCTATCTATTATGTTTTTATATGATAACAGACTCATAGACCGCCGATAGACCGAGGGTCGTTGTGTGACTTTTACTTATGATAACATTTTTTCACCTTTTGAAAAATTTTAACGTAACGTCGGGGGTTTACCTAAACTAAGCGAAAAAAAAAAGCAACTCGAAAATGTCTAGTGTTAATTGGTTTAAAAGAAAGGAAACGTTTCAATACTAAACTCCCAGCAAAACGTCTTAAAGAAGATCAAAGGCCAAAATCTGAACCGAAATATCCAAATGACTGTCAAATGGTCGCTTAGTGATCACGTGGCCTAGATCGTAGCAACGGAATCCAGGAAAATTAGGCTCATGGAATCTGAAATCCTGGGTTTTGGAATCCGGAATACAGCTCAAGGAATTCGGAATCCAAGTTCTACGTACTGACAAATACTGGAATCCAGTACCTGGAATCCCGAATCCACAGCGTGGAATCCAGAATCGAAGACTGTCCATTCCCTTACATGGGGCGTACTGTGTACTATGAGGGTATATCCGCCTCCTTCTCTTGTACAGGTTATCAAGATCAGGGCTGGAGGTCAGTCCCATGTATATGCTATAAAGATATGGTAGAAGCCAAAGGGAATGGGTTTTGACCCCGTTTGACACGAAACTAAGTTTAGATTTTAGTCGTTAAGGTCTTAAATTCCGGGGGGGCGGGAGCAGTCCTTATAATGGCCTATACGGGGAGGCATATTAAATTCTGCAAACAGAAAACTGGAATGCTGATCGTATTACGTGAAAATTAACCCTGCAAGACATCAACAAGACACCAATCCCGCTCTGTTTCGAGTTCTTTCGGTGTCGTGTAGATGTCTTGCAGAGTTAATTTTCACGTAGTACGATCAGCATTGCAGTATTCTGCTTGCAGAGGTTCCTTCGGTGTCGTGTTGATGTCTCGCAGAGTTAATTTTCACGTAGTACTATCAGCATTGCAGTATTCTGCTTGCAGAATTTAATATGTCTACATTATTATTTTTGCTTCTCAGGTCTTTATAGATCCTACGTTCTTCGGCATATTCGTTTGCGGTCCTTTGCAGTCCCTTGTGGTTAATGTTTGTACTATACGGGGAGGCTCCGCCCGAAAGGGATACCCTTTTCAGGCCTCAGGTATATGAAAGGGCAGGGAAATCTTTTCTTGCGGCTTTTGAAAGCCGACCTAAAAGGGCTTTCTAGCGGGCGCATTTTATCGCTGTGAAAAAGACAAGAAATGTTTCTGGTCTAGTAATTTATTCACATTTAAAAGACATCAGTGCATTAAGAGCAGTTAAAAGGGATGCAGATTTTTAAACTAGTATGTGAAAGGGATATCTTTTCTGTCAATAATGGTACTAAAGGGTCTACGGGGTTGGACTTTGGAACCGAGCCTCCTCGTTTAAAATTTGGAAATGGGATAAGGACAGGGACCGAATTGGACACTGTTTTATCATTCGTCTCTTGACAAGAGAGGAACAGGTCTACAAATAGGATAGGGAAGATCACTTATTTTCGTCTGAAATAGAGTTCAGGTTTCGGGGAACTTGCCACACACTGGTAGAGTTGAATTGACTTTTTCGGCTCTCTTGGGAGGTCGTACATTTGACTGGTTTTTAAACGATCTATTAAAATAGATCGTTTTCACATGACATCACGACGGCCATATTTGTGTACAAAACAATGAATCGGCAGTCATGTTGGTGTATAAAAAAAATCCTGTGGGAATTGAACTCTTTTCACATTTTAAAACTCCTTTTTTATGCCAAGCAATTTTTGCATAGCTGCTGACCACGTGACTGAAAACGCTCTATAGATTGATCAACTTTTTGATCAGAACTCTCTATTTATATCACAGACTAAAAGTTGACGAGGAAATACCATTAGAAAAGAATAAGGAAGCAGTTTTTATCCTAAACTGTGTATATTTTAATTCGTTTTTTATAAAAAAGAAACAGCACATACTATAACTATTAAACAGATGATGTTCAAAATCAAGATTTGCATGAGAAGAACATAAAGTTCAGTTGATAATTTTTCTTTTCCTCATGGCCACCTAGAAACATTTGCGGTGGACGATCGACGGGCCAGATTCATCGTATTCTTGCTTGGAGATCCACATCTGCTGGAAGGTGGACAGGGAGGCGAGGATAGATCCACCAATCCAAACGGAATATTTGCGCTCGGGAGGAGCAATTATCTTGATCTTCATTGTAGGAGGAGCCAGAGCTGTGATTTCCTTCTGCATTCTGTCAGCAATTCCTGGAAACATGGTGGAGCCACCAGACAACACTGTGTTGGCGTACAAATCCTTACGGATATCCACATCGCATTTCATGATTGAATTGTAGGTTGTCTCATGGATGCCAGCAGATTCCATTCCAAGGAAAGAAGGCTGAAACAAGGCTTCGGGACATCTGAATCGCTCATTGCCGATGGTGATGACCTGGCCGTCAGGGAGCTCATAGCTCTTCTCTAGGCTGGAGCTGGAAGCGGCGGTGCTCATTTCTTGTTCGAAATCTAAAGCAACATAGCACAGCTTCTCTTTAATGTCACGCACAATCTCGCGTTCGGCAGTGGTGGTGAAGGAGTATCCACGCTCAGTTAAAATCTTCATAAGATAGTCGGTCAAGTCTCTACCAGCCAAGTCAAGACGAAGAATAGCATGGGGAAGAGCGTAGCCCTCATAGATCGGAACTGTATGACTCACTCCGTCACCACTGTCAAAGACGATACCGGTTGTTCGACCAGAAGCGTATAGCGACAGCACAGCCTGAATGGCGACGTACATGGCAGGTGAATTGAAGGTTTCAAACATAATCTGAAATGAGTAAAAAAACAGAAATATTTAAAGAGGTTACAGTTAGTAGTAAACAGATCACGACATTTGGTGGCTGTTGTAATTTGGTCGTATGAAGAGGCAAAGATTTAGTATCGGTCAAATGAGCTGATTAGTGACCCCAATACAATTAACAGGGAGGCCAGCAAGAGGCTCTGACAATTCGAC